CTATACAATGGTTTAAGTAGTTGGATGGTAGATGATGGGCAACGTGTATTCATCTCGAAACAATGTCCGGTGAATAGATGCACAATTACTACGAAAAAATCAGAAGCTCCAGACGTGGACGCAATTTTATTTCGTGATCATTTCTCACATCCCGGTCATAGAAAAACTGGTAAACAAGTAAGATCATCAATTGACTATATAAACTGTGTAATCAGCTACGGTTATAATTAATCGTAAACATATAAGACCAGTTGACACTTAACTGCAATAACTATCGGTTAATATAATACAATATGTTTTCGCTCTTCTATAGCTCGTAATCGACATATTATAGGAGTCCTAATCAGTGGCAGTACCTGCAATTACCTACTTAATAATATAGCAATTTTTATTATACATATTTAATAAATTATATTACATTTTTTATCAACCTAACTACTATAACTATATATAGTTATTCTATATTATTTAGGTACTTATAACGTGTTTAACATTGCAGGTATGGATTTTATATTTTCTCGAATCACCGTATCACACGGAATTGATCACTTACAATGATGTGTTCAACTGGACAGCCACATACAGACACGATAGCGATATCGTCACGCCATACGAACGATGGGCGTACTACGATCCGTCAGTGACACAAGTTGAACGATTAGAACGAAATTACGCATTTAACAAAACGAAAAAAGTGGCGTGGTTTGTATCAAACTGCGGTGCCAAAAACGGCAGATTGCAATACGCCAGAGAATTGGCCAAATATATATCAGTAGACGTGTACGGCGTGTGCGGGCAATTCAGGTGCCCTAGATCGGACAAGTGTTTCCAATTGCTGGACCAGGATTACAAATTTTATTTAGCTTTTGAGAACTCCAATTGTCTCGACTACGTGACCGAAAAGTTTTTCGTTAACGGCCTACAGTAAGTCGTCGAGAGACATTTATAAGTGAATAATTTACGTTTATAGCGTTCTTAATATTATTAGTTTTTAAATCTTTCAAACGAACCGTATACTACTGCGTCAAAATGTTAAGTATAATTCGTAAAAAACATTTCCGAAAACAAACAACAAACAAAAAACAGGTAAATTAGAGCCGTGTATTTTAAACCGAACAATACCTAACAATTACCCATGTTTTGCATATTCGTTTCACACTTTCACAGCGTCTAGCTTCAACTGTCAGTCCGCACATAGGTCAGCGTCTAGACTCGGCGTCGTGATGGCGCCGAGCTGTTCCACTGCAGTT